CTCCCTACCCACTTACACATTATAAAAAGCCCGCCATTAATTATTTGCTGTTTTGCAGGAGGGGAGTCTGCCCTTTTGCTAAAGAGAGTCATTTATCTCATCGCATGATACCTGATTTCAAGTGAACAAAACTGTGATGACGATAATTATGTTTCCTGCAGTTGCTGGCGAAGCTAATAAAGGGAAATTAAAACTGCCAGTTTCATTGTTTCAAGACTCAAAAGCCTTTTGAACTTCTCCCGCATTTTGCGATGTTGCAACCCTAAACCGAAATGTGACAGACCAAAACAACACAAACAAAAACTTGAAAACTTGGGGTTAATTGTAATATGGAGCGCAAACAAAACATGGTTGTCACAGTTTTGTTTTTTGTTTTCTCCAACCGATTGATAAAATGTAGAGTGTGTACTCTGCCCTTTCTACTCTGATACCACAAAAAATAAAAGTTAATGCAATCAACTGCCCTCAGAAGTCACTTTTTTTCTAAACAGGCTAGTTTGTGAGTGTGTTTTGTTTTGTTTTTCACAGTGACGATTCTACATTTCTCAGAGTTTTGCTTGAGCACATTGATGAACATACTGCACCATGAAGAACAGTCAGGAAGCTGAGGGAGAACTTTGCAGAGATGCAGAATTCAAGTAGGAATATGTCCTCAGAGCAAGGGAGTCCAAACTGCAGAACTCCGGGGGCCCATTAGGTCCACTGTCAGCCCTTGGAAACCTTATTTGTTATCTCCATTAGCAGTTTAATAGTGAAAAAAACGTGGCCGTACAGCAAATGGAGCAGATGTGAACGAAAGGTTTTTGTACGTTTTTAGGAGATTTTTACATTTATGTCTCCCTAAAGGTTAGGTACAACTCAAAGTATGTCCCTTTTAGTGGAAAGGGTTTTAGACGAAAGCTCTAATTTTTGTTGCTGCTCAAAGACTAAAACCATTTCCTAAACCAATGAGATACGAAAGAAATGTATGCCGAAATTTTTCTAAGCTCCCAAAAAGCTTCTTGTGTAGGTTCCCCACAAAACCAGAAGTGGAACAGGTATGAATGACTGAGGAGCCGACAGCTCAGTTTGATGGCGGTTCTCCCTTGGTGGCTTGAAAGGAGTCAGCGTTCATGTAAAACAGGCTCAACAATAACAACACAAACAACTGACCGCTAATCGGTTTTCCACATCTGAGCAGTGACATCAACAACAGTTACCGAGGCGACCCTTGATCTTTCTGAATGAGAGTTGCCGCTTTTCTTTAGTACCGTGAAAGCTTTTCTGCACCCAGGGATGTGAGACAAGCATTTGCAACGGCCAGGCCTGCTTTTTAGGACAGACGTCCCTGTGGATGAAAAAGTACTTCCCCTTTTGAGTCTCTTCCGGAATTTCTCCAAAGGGAAGATTACTTACTCTTACCCACTCTGGTGTTTTTGTGTATGCACTCCCTCCCCCCTTCTCGCTGTCATTCCCTTTTACTGTTATTTTGTCCCTCTGCGACTCGGTGCTAGCCTCAGGGGAATGCGAGGGATCCGACTCCAACACAATACCAACCCAGTCGAGGCTTGAGTGGCAGATCCAGGGACCTCCAGGAGTTAATGACACTCATGGACATTTGTTCCTCTCGGTTGGTTTTGGTCGTCTCCCAAGAAGAAGCTCCACTATGGAAAGAAGGAGATGCGGGTGTGCAAGACAGAAGATTGCTGAGAGGAATAACCAATGTCTCCAAAAAGCTTGGAAAATTATGTCAGAGAAATCAAACCTTGAACATAATGTTTGAATATTTCAAACCTCAGAGAGATTGACATTTCTTCAGGAAACATTCGGGCCACATTGAAACAAGAATGATAAACAGACCAAACTAAAACGAGGTTTGAATATTGCAATGATTTGAAGGACGAACGGATGGAGATGTGGATCTATAAGAAACGATGATGGGGATTCCCAAGATTTATAAAAGACATACCGATGTTAGTTCTGGAATGAATCAAGCAGCAGGTTAATATTAAGGTTCCCAGACAATCCAGTTTCTTGCCCTTTAGAGAATTAAAAACTTTATATGTTGAGAAATCATAAACCCAACCAATTTAAATAGACTACAGGCTCAAAGAGAAACAATAGACAAACTTGTAGCTTTTCAGCAACTTGTTAAAGGACAATCAAACGTTAAAAGGACTGCAAATGCAGTCTGTGTGACATGTTGGTTTAAGAATTTTCACAAAGAATGACACAATCAGCTGACATTCAGCTAAAACCTCAGGAGCCCTTAAATTTGTATGATATACATGCTGATGAAAAGTTTATTCTTACCAGAGCTGTATGAATGGTTATGAATAGTCTTTAGAAAAGCTGTTTTATTCTGAATTTGACAGAGTTAAAGTCCCAGGACTGAGCACACGTCCTTGAGGGACACCTATGCCCAGTTCATTGGAACACGTTAAACTTTTTTTCTCATGTGAACCGTAATGTTTGAATGTCCACAATATAAAATATGTTTTTTACGACAATCTTCCTTTGATTATTTTGCTTTCAGACAGTTAATCCAACTGAAAAGTGTTATTGCATCCATTTATGTAAGGTGACCAAAAACTCAAGCTGTTCTATACATTCATTCGCTTCTGAAGTTATTCTTGATTTTTAAAAAAACAAACAGTTTGATGGATGTTTTTGAGACACATGGTTGCGTTTCAGCCACTCTGCTGAAGCTGATCACTCAACAGATCTAAAGCTCCAGATTTCCCTTTAAAGCCTCTCCATCCGTTCGTCCTTCCACCCAACCAGATCCCACACTACTTCATGAACACCTCACACATCTTTCATGCCCCGTGCCGCAATGGTAGTGCCGGTCTCCTAGCAACCGGCCCTCTTAGAGGAGGTGACAGCATTTGAGTGGGCACCCACACCTCTCCACATTCATCCCCTCCCCTCCCCCCCTCCTCACCCCCCGCGACCACGACCACCCTCACCATCCGGAGGCACGTCGGGCCCAGCGAACGCCTCGCCGTGGTGCATTCTGGTGTCATGAACCTCAGGCCCGCCGATAATTAGGCTGAATTTAGAGATCACCGAAGTGATCAAGTTCAAAAGTTTTTCATCTAGTTTTGACCAGTTTGTACCACTGCTTGTAAAGACTTTGAGGCGTCTAGCTGCTTGCCTGACTTTTTTTTTTAAACAAATTTTCACAGTAATTTTTTAAAACTTTAGTCATAATTATGAGATAGTCATGTTTTTTTTTGTACTTTAACATTCATAATGATTAGATTCATAATTCATTATTCATTTCATATTTTGTAAATCACATGAGATAAAAGCCATTACACTAATTTTTGAAGACTAGCCACAAAATCCAAGATAGATTTAGGTTTGTACTTTGACTGGGTCACTGAACTATTTCAAAACTATGTTTCATTACAGGACCAGGGTTCTCGGTGAAACTGGTTCATAACTATGCGGCGGCGTTCCTACAGAAAAGAATAACAAGATTTTAGAGCAGCATATGCTGTCTCTAAGACATATTTTTTCCCCAGGGACATTCTTACATTTTTAATAAGTCAAAGCAAAGCCCCATTGTGCTCACATTACAAAGGCATGGCCCGGGGAAGAGCGCGGCCTGCTGTCCTGACTCGCCCAACAACACGTTTTCTGGGGGAAATTTCCAAATCAAATATGAGAGCACTGACCCTGTACTGTCGCAAACTTCACAAAAAACATTTGACTTAACCAGCAGGACAACTAAAGATTCGCGATATGCTTTGTTATCGATCTGACACCAAATGGACACTAGGTCAATATCGTCGATACCAATACCGTTATCAATATCAAATTTTTTTTTTTTGCTATTTAAGTTTAATAATATATCATTAAACTTTTGACCTTTTTACGTTTTTTTGTAAAAAAAAAAAAAACAAAAAAAAAAAACTAAGAAAAAACATGTTTTTTATGTTTTTTCCTTTTAACTACTTTTTTATAACAAAGGTCAGATTTTGTACAAAGTTCATAGGTGCCTTTAAAATACTTTAATACCATATTGACATGATAAACAGAAAGAACATATAAAAACAAACAATTTTGATTGATATTTTTCTTAATTAAGCAGACTGCAAAAATGATTATTTGAGAGCAAGTAAAAAAGATTTTTTTTTCTGAGGTAGAGTTGAGAAACTACAATACAAAAAAAATTCAATAGGTAATCTGCAAGTAAAGTATCTCTCTTTCCACACTACAGTTAATCTGATACTGATATAGACTACACTCAGTATCGATATTATCTATATTTTGGATCAATCCATCCACCACAACATACTGTGAGATGCTTTTCATTAGGTATCAGTGTGAGAGTCAGAATCACATCATTTTTTTCATGTATTGGATCTATTGGATTTTTCTTATTATTTTCATTTAGATTCATAAAAAATAACACAATTTTAAATTTGTATTGAAAAGCTGCTAGTGTTGATGACGTCCTAAACAGGGAGACGGCCCCCAAATCGAATTCTGCTCAGGGCCCCGTACAACTTCAGACCATCCCTGTGAAAATTCAGATTCTGCTACTTGAGATTAATTTACACACAAAATGACTCCCCTGCTGATTTCTGAAGGCAGCTTGTTTCATTTTTCACATTTGTATTTCCAAAAAAAAAAAGAAAAAAAGAAAGATATTCTTTTTATTATGCTTCACAATCATTTAATACTTCTTGTCCCAGTGACATTTATTGAACTGTGCGGTTTGCAACGGGATGAATGCGCGCGCGCGCGCGCGCGCGCGCGCGTGTGTGTGTGTGTGTGTGTGTGTGTGTGTGTGTGTGTGTGTGTGTGTGTGTGTGTGTGTGTGTGTGTGTGAGAGAGAGAGAGAGAGAGAAAGTGATTCCTCTGAGGCTGGAGTGTGAACCGCGGCCCGCCGCGCGCGTCTTTACGCGCTGCAGCCTGGAGTCCCACTGATAAAGTGACGTGAGCGCTTGACGACGCCAAATGGCAGGACTTGAAATAGTCCGCACCTACCCAGTCTGCACTCCCACTTGCTGCGTGTCAGTACTACGGCAGCTTTGCTCTTGGAGAGAATTTTGAACTTTAAAAATATACTTACATATAAAAAAAATAAAAATTTATTATTATTATTTTTTAGTATTATTTTTGGGGGTGGATAACTTTCGAGAAACTCGAAACAGGAGGAGATGGATATTGACCGACCGACTAATGTCTCCTTTTTCGATTTCGTCGGAGGAGTCCAGCTCCTGTCAGGAGAGGACACCCGGACCGCCATGCCCGTCCTCCTGATCGGGATCTGCGTGTCCGGCGCGGTGTGCAACCTGCTGCTGTTGCTGGTTTTCGTCCGCGACTTCCGGAGCGGCAGGGGCTCCGAGGTGAAAGCCCTCCTCGCCTCGCTGGCCTCCACGGATCTGGCCATCCTGCTGCTGTGCGCGCCCGTGCGCGCCGTCACCTACTACAGCCGGACCTGGACCTTGGGGAACTTCGCGTGCCGCACCTCGGACTGGCTCCAGCACTCGTGCGTGGTCGCGAAAACTTTCATCCTGGTCGCGACCACCAAAGCCGAGCACACGCCGCTGCCGCGCGCCGCCGCGTCGCAGCCCCTCCATAGCCCCACGTGGATCCACGGAGCGGTCGCGTTCGTCTGGACGGTGTCCATGATGCTCGCCATCCCGCAGATGCTCTTCGCCGCCCTGTTGCCGCGCGGCGACGACTATGTCTGCGTCTCCGAAATGCCGGTGTGCGCGTCCGACTTCATGAGTTTGTTCTACAAGATCTACCCGACCGTGGCGTTCGTGGCGCCGGTCATCTTCACGGTCGCGTACTACACCAAGACTCTGCACACCGCCGTGAACCACGCGCCGAGCCCGCGACACCAGAGCAAGGTGGTGCTGGTTCTGCTGTGCCTGAGCGGCGCCGTGGGGCTCATGCTGCTGCCCGAGTGGGGGACGTTCGCGTGGATCCGACTGGGCTACAGCAGACCCCCCGCGGGGCTGATGATGTTCGCGCAGGTCCTGCTGTACGCGTGCAGCGCCCTGTCCCCGGTCGTCCTGATGACCATGTACGACGACGTGCGACAAGGACTGGTCGCGGTCTGGCTCGTCGCGACGTGCAGGAGCGGCGAGCGCGCGCCCGACGCGAAGTGCCCGCAGAGCGAGGGGAACGGGGCGGAGGTCGCGGCGAACGCGGTGGGCAACGCCGTCTCCCAGACGACGGAAGCCACGTTCCCCGACGTGGAGCACTTCTGGACGGGGCGCCGGAACACGCACGTGGATGATGAGCACGACCCGGTTCCGTGGGAGAAAGAGGAGAAGATGCTGTAATGAACTTTTCTCTCTTTTTTTGTGATTTTATTTTTTTAGCAGGAGGTTTTCAGTTTGTTATTGGCTGCTCTATAGTTCCTCCACCCACTCAGAGCTTCACTACAGGCTGTAGTGGACCGTTTGGTATTGTGAGCATGATTAGATGTAATATGAACTTGTGTACTATCATGGTTTGGTGTTGTACAGAGCCGGCCCAAGGCACTGTAAACTAAGCAGCTGGTCATGAGCCTCCACGCCAGCAGGGGCACAAAAGAGCAGTAGAAGAGTTTTAGAGTGAAGTTTTTTTCTTCTTTTTGTATGAGAGGACACAAATTGACATGTTTTGTGTCACATGTTTACATTTGGGATTCACAATGTTTAAAATGTTATTTGTTAATTAGTGTCGTTTAAGAAACATTCTGTTCATTTGTTTTTATTAGTCACATTTTTTAACATTGGATTATTATTATAATTTTTTTTAAAAAGGTTGTATTTCTTGATGTTTTACTAATCAATCAAAAACAAATAATAGTTGAAAATGCAATTCAAACCTTGAAGCAAAATCTTTTACATTAGAATTTTAGTACATGAAAAATTTTCAGTACATAAATGTTGAGAATATATATAAGTTAATTACTGTACATATATTTATTTATATGTGTTATTTGTTTATTCATTTACTTTCTAATAAGTTGACATCTTTTTGTAATTTTCAAAACTGTTATGGTAATCTTTGTGGTAAAATTTTAATGAATAGATTGTGAAATTCTACATTTTACATGTAAATCATATATGACCTTAAATATCAAGCAGGAGAGACATTAGTAATCTAAATCTTTTTTATTATTATTACAATGTAGGTTTTAGGATGGAACTCTGGAGTTTGACTCTAAAGACTTTCTGCTTAAAATATTTTTGTTTTTTTGTTGTTTATTTTTCCACTTTATGTGAAGCATCATGCAGTCCTTTGTCAATCAATGTAAAACATTGTGTTAATGATCTTGACTGGCTTGTTGTAAATAATAACTGAATAATATTTCAGTTATGTAACATATGGATGCTATAGTGGAGGGAACATTAGTTGAGCTGGAGGATCAAATGATGTCAAACTCGTGATGAAGCCTTGGACCGGCACTGTTGCTTTAAGCTTTTATTTTGGATTTCTCTTCTTTTTTACAACTTTGATGCACTGTCTATAGGGCATGTTTGTTTGTAGTTATTGTTATTTACTTTTATTTTGTATTTTTTTGTAAAAATACAACTGTGTATTTATGGAAATTCTAGCAATCAAGTTGTGATTCTCTTTGTGTGACACATGAGTATTAAAACACTCTTACTTATCAGGGCGGCCATTGTTTTCCTTTTTAGTGGCTACTGAACATGACTTTAATCAGAGATAAAATGCAGTTGGACCCGGATCAAATCTCTCAATTTAATGAAGAATGCTCAGATTACACGTACAGTTCAAACAGGGATCGCTTTTCCCATATTAGATTCACAGCTGATCCAATGGGGTAAACTAGGTCATGTCATAAATGTTGTTTTAGTGAAACCGTCATTTACCCAGAGCCACTGAGGATGTGCAAGTTTACCGCCATCTCTTTGTTGTTGTTGATGGAATTTTCTTTAGTTTTGGTCCAGATTGAATCAATCAAAAATGAATTTCTTTATTCTTATACTTTTGTTACTATAATTTTAATCACAAAACAAATTTTACTACTGATAAGTTCTATTCACTTTACTTTGAATTTTTTTTACCATTATTGTGTTTTTTCAGGGTGGGGTTTAAACTCCAAATTTCTAAGTACCGACAAGATATAATTGGCAATACTTTGCTTACCTTTTGTAGCATAATGTTTTTTTTTGGAACCTTTAAATTTTCTGAGGTGGAAGCTAACAGCTAATGAGACATATGCTACTTGTTTTAGCCAAGTTTAGCAGTTTAAAGCTACTGAAACAGAAAATGTGTTCTTGTATCCAAAGCTACATTAACATGTAAGAGAGTCACCAAAGAATTTATGGCATATTTTATGACAGTTTGATATTTCACAACAAATTAGCTTGGAGTTAGCTTGTTGAAGTTGGCTTGTTGGAGTTAGCTTGTTGAAGTTAGCTTGTTGGAGTTAGCTTGTTGAAGTTAGCTTGTTGGAGTTCGCTTGTTGTTCTTAGCTTGCTGAAGTTAGCTTGTTGAAGTTGGCTTGTTGGAGTTAGCTTGTTGGAGTAGCTCGGCTTCAATTGTTACAGTTTATTACTTTTTAAGGGAAATGCTGTTGATGCATATGCATCCTTTGAAAAATCTCCTAGGTACAGATAATATGGTCTTTTGTTAAAAAGTTTATTTCCTAAATCATTCCATCCGACCGTGTGAATGTGAACTAAATATATATATATATGTAAAAAATAAGCTGACCAAATATAGCTTTAAATATTCTTGGTTAATATGATCTTAAGCAGACATTTTCTGTCAAGACTACTTGTTTCCTCATTTGCTCGTTTCGTTGCTCAAAGACAAACTGTCGGGGTGAAAGGTCGTCTCCACGCCACGCCGCACTGCGGTGAGAGGTCAACCGGGCCTCCCTGCTCCAGTTCACAATCCACCTCCAGGATCCAATTAGAGGCGATCTCTTCTGGTTCCTCTGACACACAAACATGAGAGCATCCAAACACACGTTGGGATTTTCCTGGACTCCTGGATATAATTAGGTCCAGCAGTGAATGTCACTGGAAATTCTAACAGGGCTTAGGCATGTTAGTAATTCAAGGAAGAATTTCTGACACTGTAGCTTTAGTAACATTTTTGACAAAATTTATGCTTGCTTTTTTTCTCTTGAACAGAAATTATAATTATTATTGATTTTTTTTGTTTCTTCTTGAGATAAAGTACTGTGCTAAAAGTACGAATTTGCTTTGAATATTTCCACATTTTGCACCAATTCACTTAGTTTTCCCCACCTATATTGACATCAATATGTGAGGATTAATATCGGTTGATACTGATCTGACACAGAAAAACGGTGCTGAATTGTTTTAAAATGTTAAAAAAAATAAATAAATCACAGCCATAAATTTACTGAATTACAAATTCCTCTACTACCGCTGCACCAGTACAGCACACTAAGATGCAAATAGCTTCACGAACTTGGTCAAATGAAACAACAGGTTTAATTTCTTCAGTCAGTGCAAAATAATTTATAATGAAAGTGAAACCGACAAAAGCAGGATGACTACCTGGTCAAATGTGTAAAACAATAAGCTTTGACAAATCAAAGTGCATCATTCTAACTATGATGTAAAATGATCAGAAATGATGACGTCACTCAGAGCACAAGGCATAGAATTATACTGAAGAGATCCGCCCTCATCTTTTCATTTGCGTTCCCAGTTGGCAGGTGAACTCAGAGTATCGGCGAGAGTGTGAAATTTTGTTTTTGTTAAAAATAAAAAGCTAGCTAATTAACCTCAGTGACATAATATGGAGGAAAAGATCCGACATGAAAGCCGCTAATTATGCACCTGTGACAGTTACAGCCAGAATCACAGGTATTAATTTGATGGGCCTCCTATGAACACATTTACTGTGTGAGGAAAAGTCTGTTACGCAATGCAATATCCTCCTCTTTGACGAAAGCTCTAAAAATAGAACAGATAATAGTGTAAAAGAAATGAGTGACCAAAGGGCAGACATTTGGAGAAAGGGTCCACTCTCAATGAATTAATTATATGTGGAGAAGTGAAATGGTGCTGCAGAGCTTTCTTTCCCCCCTCCCCTCCCTCTCTTGAACCGGTAACCTTTCTTTTCACCAGGGTGGACTAAAATGTCAAATCTGCAGGGGAGTGGGAGTCACAGGCAGCCGCTGCTTCGCTGGTAAACACTCTGCTGGAAGGAAACGGGCTCTTTCTGGATGGCAAAAAGATCTCCAAATCTTACAGCAGCTCAGAGCAGAAACCAATAGATAATATCAACATGCTGGCTTGTTAAGAATCGTAGGAAAAACCTTTTCTATCCTTAAATCTCATCAGTGGACGTCTGAGCTCCTCTGTGCCTTTAAATACGTTCATATTGTTGAGAAGAGACTTGGGCCGTTTCACACTTGATAGTCCAGTGAACTTGGTTCAATTGGGGACCAAAACTGCAGCATTTGTTACATTTTCAGTTGTTGTGATTTGCTTTCACGCTTTGGAAAGCCTTTGAAAAACCTGTTCACCTCCTTGCCTGTGGGGGCACTGCACCGAGAACCACTGAAGTAAATGACACAAAAACCTCATAGGTTGACAAGAAAGTAACAACCTTGTTACTTTAAATAGATATTTTGCTACAAAAGGTAAGCAAGTTGCAGACTTTTTCTTTACGAACTTTTTCTTTACGAACTTTTTCTTTACGAAATGTAAAAAATTAAAATAAAAAAAATAGAGCGGCTTCAGATTTTAGAGGCTGTACGATTTCTCTTTTGTCTGTGATAAAAGACCATGAGCCATTTCTAGATTTGTTTGTTTGTTGTGGTCATATTTACTCAGAATGCCCTATGGACCACTTCCTGCTTGTGGAGTGGTACCTGATCCACTTGGCATTCACATTGGCCTTCTAACTGCGACAGAGTTTGCTTCAATCGAACTGAGACCTAGGATTTTAGGCAGACCAGAGTTGGGATTTTTTGACTGTCCCTCCCCAAACAAACAAACAAACTTGAGTTTGATTAAAGCAGACTAAACAGGGGTGGTGTGAATGCTTTCAAACATCAGACATGTCAGTAACACGCTCTACGGTTTGACGTAAAATAAAATGATGTGAAAGGACGAATATCTAGAAAAGCACCTCATTATCTATGTTAAGTTTGGTGGAGGTTCGCTCCTGTCAGTTTCTCTTCCAAAGGCTCTGAGAACTTTGTTAGAGGGAGCAGCACCATGAACTCTTTGGCTCATGGTGCTGCAGCCAGTTACCAGTTGGTTATGTACAAATCTGGTGGATTTTCAGTAAACTCAAAATGGGTTGACATAGTGTTCCAATAGGATAAAGACCCGAAATATAGGATCAGATCAATAGAGAAATGCTTCATCATGCCCAAAATAACTTGTCTTCCACAAGCAAAGTCTCTGGACCTAAAACGTGTGATCTGAGCATCCAAACTCCCAGCTCACAAAGCAGCCGTTCACTCAGCTCCTACAAACTAGCCAGCAGCAATTAGCAAAAACTGCGCATCATTCTGAGCTCTTTACACGAGCTACCTCAAAGCTGATCAGAGGGTTGGTAGAGCAGCGAAGTTTTGATGACTGCCTCAAGGCGGAGCTTCAGAAAGAGCAGGAGTTTTTAAAGAGACAGAGACCCAATTTAAAGGCGTTAAATCACAAAGTCAAATATGTTTTAAGTCATATTTGATTTTAATGTACCATTTGTATGACAACTAAGGGTAACACAGAAACTTCACTGTGCCTAGAAAAGACATAATAATGCCCCTTTAGTATCGAGGCGCAGAATGCGATCCAGTGAAGTGGGAGGGCAAACTCCCAGGCCGGCCATTTTGTTTTTTTTAGGTTTGTATCAGAATTGTTGAAATGCTAGAATAAAAACATACTTAAATCAAATAAACCAATTAAACTTCCTGGTAAAGTGAAAATTGGAAAAATAATAAGACATGTTTGTGAGACAGACGCGCATGCGTAAGTGCTTGACCTTAATATTTCGCCTCTCTGGCAACCTTAAAAGGAAGCAAGGCACATCTGGCAGCTGATTCCGACAGCTTCCAGGATAAAAGCAGATTCACAGCTTCTGACATAATCCATTTAAAAAAAACAAGCCTTAAATAGTTTTGTAAGCAGAGCATAGATTCAAATCAATAAGAGACCCTGCGATCAAAAAGCATTTCTCTTTTTCTGCTTTCCAGATCAGGTTGAACTTTAGGTCGACGATAGGTCGAGATTTATTTTTACTAAACTCACAAGCACGGGACCCTGGGCATCGCTGCAGGGCTCGTATTGCACCTCAGTGTGAGATGTTTTCTCTTAGCGGATTCATATTTTCCCCAAACGTTGTACTGACTGAAGACATTCTGTCTCGTCACAGTGGGTTTGCTGAAGTAGGCATGCGATGCCATCATTAACTCCAGTCCCACGTCAAGAGCAAACCGCTGATGGCCTTGATAGATCCTTGTCTGCTTATTCAGGTGGGCCAACGGGCATCTCTGCAGGACCTTCACGCTGTGGAACGTCGGGGCTGCGGGCCTACAGTCGCTGATGACCGATGGGTGAGTTTTCTCCTATACTGGAGTTAGTGCGGTACAGATCTACGCAGAAGATCTTCCCTTCCAACAGCTCATCACCATCTACAATAACTCTTTGGAGAATTGATGAGTTACAGCAACGTTTCATTTCCCCTTTTTGGGTTTAGCAAAGTGAAGGTTTGGAATTTAGAATTGAATTTGAATTTTGAAAAGCATGGAATGAGTGTGAATGGCGACCTGGACTTTAGTGAAGTTTCACGAATCAAGGCTGTTTATGACACAGCGACGTAAGCGATGCAAATTCAGACAAGAAAACTGGCAAGAAAAACAACTTTGGAAAACAATTTGAATACACATGTAAGTTGTTGGTTACTATTATGTTTTTTTGTTTGTTTGTTTCTTTGTTTTTTAAAGAATACCTGCTTAATGGTTTGAGATGCTCCCATGTTTACTGTTTTGGTTTAATCCAGCTCACTTGTTCAGATTTCAGACTTCAGATGAATCTTTAAGTTTTCCAGGAACGGAAACCTGTCCTGTTTCATCTGAAAGCAAAACAATATCTACTGGTGCAAAACAACAACAATGACAGAAAAAAAAACACATTTGCACTGTCAAAAAGATTTGTGCTATGGGGGGCTGATTCTTGGCTTCACAGAGTGATGTTTCATGTGTGTCGCAGTCCCCAGTCTGCCTTGCATTTTTACGCATCCCTGAATCCGAAAATCAATAACTACCAGCTTCTCAGAGAGATTAGTCACTGTTAAAACTAGGGATCAAAAACAGTTCGTGCCAAAGAAGCTGGAGTTTCAAGGTCGAAGCCATTGAAAAGGATAGAGTCCTTCTCTTTCTGCCTTTCTGTAAAGCAGCACTTGTTATTTATTTATTTTTTCCCCTCTCATCACTCAGCCATGGTGCATTGGTGATGCTGCCTCAGGCTCTCGCCGGTGCTTTGTTGGGCTCTGTGTGTCCTCTGTCCTGCAACAGCTTACAAAAGGTCCGAGTCAAAAGAAAAAAAAAAAAAATTATAATTAAAAAAAAAGAACTTAAAAGACGTCCAGATCTCTGGGTTGAATGCAGAGCTGCACTAAAGGGAATCAGGTTGCATGAAAAACAGGTTTCAATATTGTTATTTTTAGACTGTGTCGGATAAGAAATAAGAACCATATGCTTTCCGCTTGAATTTTGAACAAATCTTACTAAAAATACCCCAACACCCCTGAATACCCCCTCCTTTCCCTGCAGCCAAATTCACTGCAGCTGTGTTACATTCTCTTCCTCTTGTTACCTGTTTCTCATGGGAAGTCAAATCTGTCTGCTCTGACCTGTTTTTCTATTCACACTTCACTTGTTCTAAATCAACGCTGCCAGACAGCAATGGACCCTGTGGCTGAGCAGGCGAACAGCGCCACCTACGTCCAGACACGTGTAATGTGGACGGGGAGAGGACAGGGACCCCTTGTACGACACGCATCTGTAAATGATGACTTTTTTTTTTTTTTTTTCCATGCACAGCCCTTAGGATTTTGGCCACGCGTTTTTATTTATAGGAGTAAAAACGCATCTTCAGAATGCGCTTTTGGAGCACACGTCCACGCTGACGCCGGCTCTTCCAGAACCGGAACCGAACGTGGAGAAGCAGCGCTCAGTTTTCAAGCTCCGCTAATCTGGAGCAAAATTCCAGAGAACCGCAAAACTGCCGAAACACAGTTTCCCTGTAAATCAAGGCAGAAAACCCACCTGCTTAGAGCCGCCTTTGATGCATAACAACTGGAAATTGACCAACATGTTTGATGAGTATTTGCCTGATGATTTTAATAGTTGCATTTGATAAAACGCGGTGTTTGTTGTTTATTTTACACAAATAAACTTGATTTTTGAGCAGAACCTATATGCCAAATCAACAAATAAACTTTAATCCCCATCTCCATTCTGCAATTTTGCTGAACCTCGTGACAGGTCGGAACCCACCACTGTTTCACGGTTTCTCTGAAAACAAACAAACAAACAAACAAAATGTTCAGCAGCATCGAACTGCTGGAAAACAATACTTTGTGTCATGTTGTATTGTTATGTTCCAGCAAAAACTGCATGTATCTTTAGTCAAAAAAATAGATCTTCAAATTCAAGATATTTGCTTCTCTAAACAGAGGAGAATCGAGGCAACGCTGTTTGCAAGGACGGGTTTATTCCATGTTTTGTTCAGCTTATTATCACTTATTTTAGGAACTCTTAATTTAAAGGAAGGGAGAAGTGGGGCAGCTCGGGGAAAATGACATTTCTGATTGTTAGACTTCACAAAGCCATTCACAGGCTGCGGGGATCCCCAGGAGGACAAAAACTGATTCCAGCGTGTGAAACTGGTGCCGCTTTGACTGCAACAGTAACAGGCGAGGATAACGTGGTTTGTTTATCCTGCTTTTGGGGAAACGATCGATGTCTGTGGCTGAAAATCCAACACTTTTTGGTTTAGGCATATTTAATCCAAGGACAGCGCGATAATGAGCGACATTTTGGTATGACGCTAATCCGGCCTCTAATCTGTCGTGTTTTTAACACGCAGCGGGATGGCAGAGGCTCCACTTCATGCATTTAGTCCAGAAGAAATCCCTGGTTACCGCCGAGTGGGAGATGAGGATTTATGTGTAAGTGGCGCCACCTGTTGGTTGAATGCATATTCTCCATGATTTCCCCATGCTTATTCCCTCATTCATTCCTCGTTCAAACATGAAATAAGTGGAGCAATGCTGACTTGAAGGCAGTGAATATTTGTCGAATCACTTATTTGATATTTATTTAACTGTCATCGTTTTGTAGAAATCAGTTTTCATCTTGACATTAAAAGGCTTTGTGGTTTTTTTTTTACATGTTTTGTAGACTTTTTTAAAAAAATATTATGATCACATTCCGATGACTAGGTTTTCTTCTTCTTTTAGTTTTAAAAACCTGAAATATTCTTTATTACACATTTTCATAACCTTGTGTCATCCTGACCCCCAGTGGCCTGATTTGGAACTAAAGCATAATCTGTAATGTTCTTGATGTGTAATAGGAGGGGGCGGGGGGCCGGGGGGGGGGGACTCATTACAATCACTATTCAACTTAATGCAACTTGCTATTCGTAAATAATACACAATTTAATGGCAAAATACAACTCACTTTGTTTGTTAATTAACGGAACATGATGTTTTACATAAAAAAAATAAGAATAATTTTGGACTGACAGAATTAAGAATGTGCTTCATATTGTAATCTCTCTCTCTCTCTCTCTCTCTCTCTCTCTTTCTTTCTCTCTTTCTCTCTCTCTCTCTTTCTTTCTCTCTTTCTCTCTCTCTCTTTCTTCTTTCTCTTTCTCTCTCTCTCTCTTTCTTTCTCTCTTTCTCTCTCTCTCTTTCTCTCTCTCTCTCTTTTTCTTTCTCTCTTTCTCTCTCTTTCTTTCTTTCTTTCTTTCTATCTTTCTTAATTTTAGTCTGAATCAAGAAGTGGGATTATACACATACTTTTACCAGAAATCGCAACTCAATATAATACTGCCACCATGCAGCCGCGCTGCACAGTGTAAGGTCACAGTTAAGGGACAAATAAATCAAGCCCCGCCTTCACGTCGACTGCTCAACGTTTCGATTGGAGCGCGTTTGTAACGGACGTTCCTCTCGTCCAATAGGAGGGCGCGAACCGACTCCTGGGCACGCAGCCCCGCAGACGTGAGAGCAGAACGCAGCGCGAGGAGTGTCAGTAAGGACGGGAGCAGCGACTGTGAACTGGTGGCACATTAGTGTGTTGAACAAGCAAGGTGAGCTTTATTTGATGTTTTATTTCCACCCCGCCGTTTCACCTGTAAACTCTGCGCAGGGGGAATGCTTAATGTCGTCGTTATTGTACTTCCTGGTTGGAGTTTGGTTGTGCCGTATTTATTCATTTGCTCGAGCTCAACTTTTCTTCAGCTCGTCCTCGTGGTTATTAATAGCGTCACATTTCTGTATTTTGTTGGGGTTTATTCGACTTTTGCGTCTGTTTTGTATGTGCTACAACCTCTTGTGAACCAGTACCAACTTTTGTAGCTGTTTTTTAAATTTAAAATTTTTACTTTTTTTTTTAATCACCAAACCCACGTTTTAGTAGACTTAATTAAAACGCCGCTAATTTACGTTTTGTTTTGACCAAAATGTGTTCATTTTTCTGGCCTTACTGAGCGACCTTAAAACTTGTCAGGCTGATGTCTGCTGCCCATTAAAACCAAATAAGTTACAGACTCAGCTGTTCTATGTCTCCACGAGCTTGATAAGTGATTTCCTGATTCGCTTCTCCTTTGAACTTCATGCGGCCGCAACCAGTTTGTGCTGCTGTAATGGTGCAGAGCTGCGCTGCTTGAAACTTGACCCACACCAGTGGACAGCCAAGGAGACTGCCAAGAAAATGGCATTAACCTGGCAGTTAGAGGTCATTCAAATAATTTGCCCTTGTCTCAAGGTGCACTTTTGTCCCTTCTGACAACACCTTCCTTGTCCTGTTAATCTGCAATCTCTCTGCGCTTTACACTTAAATGCCTCCTTGGAAATAATGCACTCTGAGTAATTTTCTCTTTTTTTTTTCTTTCCTCGATACTGAGTGATACTGAGTGACAATGTAAGCATGTCTGACAGTCTGTGTTTGTGTTGGCTAATAACATTAGGTTGGCGTTGTTCTTTTGTTCTTGCAACTGTATCCCAACAGTTGCTGCTATTAAAATAATCCAAACCTACATAGGAGCAAAAAGGACTCGAGAGACCAAAAATTTTTTTATTTTACCGACTCAACAATAAACATCCCTGTTTCTTTGAAAATGCTTGCTGGATTCAGCCAAGTTTAGAAAACCCAATATTTATAACTTAGCAAAGTAAACAAAACGTACATTTTGAGTAAAAGTCACTGGATGTGTGTAGTTTTGCAAGAAAATGCAAAAAGCATGGTTATTTAAACACCTACCCTTTGTTTTTTAGTAATTTTCTTTCTATTTTGTGAAGTGTTACTTTGTAGTAATTTTGTCCAGTAATTAGCCCACACTGAAAAAAGAAAACGGGTGATTCAACTTTTAAAAAAAATAATTTCTCACAAGTAATCAAATGAAGTTTATCCAAGTAAATATGTTAATTTTATTAAGTGTGTCATGTTAAATAAATGTAGTTTAACAAACTGAATTTGATTACATGTCACAAATTAACTGATTTATTTTTTAAATTGGAGCTTCACTCTATTTTTTCAGTGTACCAAAAATGTTAATATATGACATTTTACATTGAATAATCAATAGATTGATTGAAAATGTACAAAAATAAATAATAATAATAAAGCAACCATCATACCTTTCCCGATTTGAGCATTTTTGATTTTGATTGATTCTCTTGTTTTTTTGTTATTTGTGGGGTAAGATCACATGCAGGAAAACACAAACAGTGGCAAGTTTTTTTTTTTTTTTTTTTTTAATTTGATCCAGGAAATGTTGCCCAAATAACTCAGAAACTTTACACAGCTCTCCTGTTCATCCTTGCTTCACATCATCTGAAAATATCACATTTTGACCGAATCTTTCAGACTATACAAATAGTCTGTTTAGGTAAAAACAAATAGAGGGGATTTAAAGTGTACCCAACACAAAACCCGTGGCCAAACTCTCGTCTCTGAAAATGTGTGGGTGTGTTTGGGAATGACTGTTGAAGTTCGGAAGATATTAAGCCGTGGACAGACGGACAGACAGACGTTTACCGAGTTGCCAGCTGAGGCCTCTGGTTGCTCTCAATCAACCTTGAAAACTGGAGGAGGATTTTAAATCTGAATCTAAAAGCCTCATGCGGTCAGGCCCTACTGCTATTTTCTCTTTCACTTTCAGTTTCATTTGATAGAAAATCCCTTCACTCTCTTTTTTTTTCCTTCGTACTTTTTCATGTCAAGACAAGTAAATTTAACCACAGCTGCAGTTTGTGTCTAAGTGTTTTTTTACTGAATGTAAATTAATGCATTAAGTGCCTTTTTAACTTTTTCTTTCTCTTTTCTGTAACTTTCCAGATGTCCTTTGCTAGTGATAAACTTTATAATGGTTATTTGCGGCAGAATATGCCGGTCATTGTTAGCAAGGTGAAAGTGAGAGAAATAGTACCGTTCCTTCCCTGCCTGACGGCTCATGACAGGGTAAGTTCAGTCATTCATCACTTTGTCGTTTTTTTATTATTATTATAAAATAGTAAAGACGAGGTTTATTTTTATTTCACAATGAACATTTGAAAAATGTGGAAGACTTACATATTTTCTTTTTTAAATATAGAGTTATTATTAAAAGTTTTCACCCCATTAGTCGTTTTACACTTTTATTGCTTTCACAAATCAAGTATGATTATCCATATGTGCCTTTTTTATTTATAAAATTACCAAAAAACTCTTCACAAAAAGTTGAGAAAAAATATGTAACATAAAATATTTAGCTTTCACATTTGTTTGCAGAAAATATATATTTTGTTGATCATGATATACTATTTGGGTCACATGGATTTGTAAAAGCCATAAAAGTGTCAAACACTCAACACGGTGGTGGCGGCATCATGCTGTGATGTCTCTTAATCAGAGACAGGGAAGCGGTCCAGGCGCTTTTTGCAGAACGCACTGAGCTGTAAATGTGTCATAACTACTCCAGAAAACATTTCTCTACGTTTTTCTTTTAAAACTGATTGTAGGAAATCATAGAGGCCAAACGGGAAACTTCTGGGAATTTCAATGCTATGGTGCTTCTCCTGGAATGTCTGAAAAGAAGGGAGAACTGGCCGGAGCAGTTCATCCAGGCGCTTCAGGCTTGTGAGCACACAACGCTCGCAGCTGACATCCAAAACGAATATGACACTCTGCTAAAGGCTCACAGTAAGTCACTTCATCATCTATTGTAATCTGTAATCTGGAGCTTAAAACCTTGCTTTATGTGATGTTTATGCCTTTGTATTATGACACGTATTGATATAAATGACAGCTTAAGCTTCTCTTTTATGTTACTGCCACATGCCTTTATTGCTTTTATTAACTATACAGTACTTGAAGCTGAAGCCTGAGTCACTCTTATTGGGTAATAGCTAATGTAGGAGTGCCTAAAGTGCTTCTAGCACCATGTTTATGAATGTTTCCATGAATGCTGCTGGTAGGATGTGTTTTGGGTCATATGAAGATGTGAAGGAAAGAACATCTCTTCTAGGAGTGGGCATTTATTTTATCGTTTATCATTTATTGATAATAATTTCAGTTTATTGTTGTCACAATAAATTCCAATTAATGACGTGAACTTAATTTCGTAACTTCAGTTTGCTTAGTGGACACACAGCTATTGATAGAAATTAATCAAACTGCATTTTATCTTTTAAAAGTTGTAAGCTTTGTGACTCTGAGTGATGTTAACAACATGAGTAAAACAGTAAATGATAAATAAATGTATAGTTTCTGATGTCTACTCTCCACAGCGCTCCAGTGTTAACCTAGCCACTGTTTGCTTCATCTTAGATCCCAGCTCAGGCTTGGCTGCAGCTACCGTGGTGAGGGCTCATGTCCACCCGGCTCCAGCCGCCAGCCAGCTGCCCGTCTCTGAGAGCGTTGCAGATGTTCAGCCGGTTCCCGTTGCAGATGTTCAGCCGGTTCCCGTTGCAGATGTTCAGCCGGCTCCCCCTGAGCCAGCCTCTCAGGCCTCGGCTCCCGTCCACACTCCTGCACAGCAGCAAGTCCCTCAGATGGCGTTCGATTCCCCACCTGAACCCATCTCCGAGCCGCCCGCTCAGGATGAGTTTCCACGTCTCCCATCTACTCCGCCCCCGTCTCCTGAGATCCAGCATGCAGTCGAGGGAAACCACGCTCCCTACCAGGAGCCCGAGGAAAACTCAGAGTCTGATATCCAGGATCCTTCTGGTGATACTGGCGCAGGGAGGAAAGAGGCTGTCGTCGTGCCGAACTCCCCTCAGCAGCAGCAGCACCAAGATCCGGTCCCTCAAAGTGGAGCTGATCATCTCCAAACAGCAGCAGCCACAAAGCCGAGTCTGTCTTCAACGTCATTCAGCTCTGATGTATCTGATCGGTCATCTGTGGTAACTCTGACTCCAGAGAAACATCCAGTCCAGGACACGACCCCACCAGCACTCAAGGTTCCTCTGCAGCCCCAGATGAGTGCTGAACATACAGCTGCTCAGGCCAGTAACAACACCTTCCACACCAAATCATCTAGAAGAAAAAACATTGTGCTAAATGCTCTTGATTTTGTGGTACCTTTGATTTTCAAAGGCCTTCATCAGCTCCATAATGCAGTGTTTCCATGTAGATATAAATGCCGTTTGCTCAAATTAATGCCAGGGAAATTATAAAACATTTTTCTGTAGCTTCTGCAAGCCACAATATTGTGCAAGTTATCAAACATCTCATGTTACGTATTAGGTGTTGGTATTGGATGTGTTTTCATATTACGTCGTTCTTTCCCTGCAGGTTGTTAAAAGTAGACCACAGACTGAAGCTTCTTCTTCTCCTGAGCCGTTTGCCAACAAAAGAGACGGCTTTCATCAAGACGCTAATGATAACTCAGTGTGCCTGAGCAAACCTGGTCAGCTCGTTAGCATCCAGCCAGTTAATCCTCCACTCCAGCCTCAGAGCTCCTCGCTGCAGCCTTACTCCGGTGATACTGGGCGACTGGAACTAAGCGACCCTTCACCAAACACCCGTCTTCCTTCCTGCACCGCTCAAGTCGAGAAGCCTGATTCAGCAGAACCACATCAGGAGAACGGGATTGTTCCAGACCACAGCGAACCAGAGGAGAACCACTACGAGTCTCCAAACCAGAGCTTCGACGTGGCGGAGAACGTGGTTCATGTAGCAGAGATGCCATCCATCCTCAATTGCGACGGCCAAGCTCCAGAGCCAGAACTTCAAATCGTCAATGGAGAACCGGCCAAAGGAAGCTTTTCTCCAAGCGAGAACCCTGCAGATGACACTGCGTCAAGTTTTCACAGCCTGCACAGCGAGAACAATGCGCCAATCGAGTCAACGCCTCTGTCTAATTCAGAGAAAACCACTCCTTCCGACCCCAGCAATGGCCAATCCGTGACAAGAAAGCACATTCTGATCGGTGCCGGAGTGGGGGCCTGCATTCTGTTGATGGCGATGAAGTTTAAGCGTTAAAAACAGGCAAGTCAAGTGGGTAATGAGTGACTGAGAATCGTCATAGTCTCATGTTGTAATCCTTGCACCGAGAGGGCACAGGACAGACGTTTAATAATTACCGGTAGGAATGACAGCTACCATGCCAGACCTTTGATCGTGTCATTAATTCATATCTGTTGTTGGTGTTCTGCAATGAATGACTTTGACTTTGGCATAAGAAACCCCAAATCAGAACTCTTGACATTAGCTGGGACCCTTCAGTGAGGTGAGGTGGCATTTCAGGTTATTTCTTAACTAGCTGCAAATGTGGATTTTTCTGAAGGTACCTGATGGAAAATAATGGTGCCTCACAATAATATTCACACATTTTAACTTCAATGCGTTTTATTGAGATTTTATGTGATGCATAACTGAATTAGAAGTTTAAAAATTGGTGGAAAGAAAATTGAGGCATTTGTTCTCCAGTGTTCTATAGAAAACCACTGAGGTCTATATAAAACAGCTGGATTTGAGATCAAGAGTGTTTTCATACCTGATAGTCCGATAAACTCTGTTCGATTGGGGGCTAAACTTGTGACATTTGTTATATTTTCAGCTGTTAATCGGTACTGCATTGTCAAATAATCCCAACTAATTGAAAAACCTGTTCCTTCCCTCACCTGTGGGGGCACTGCACCAATAACCACTGAATGAAATGACACAAAAACGTCTGAAGAAGACACTGAGGGCAACTTCCTTCTTCACGACATCTAAACAAAAATGGAGTGGCGTCAGATTTTAGTGGTGGCAGGATTTCTCTTTTGTCTTTGGCTACAGACCACGAGCCATTTGTCCCACTAGTGCTGCGTACACGTTTGTTTGTATTTACCCAGAATGCTGCGACTTATAGTTCGCTTCCTGCTTTTTGATCTTTCTCCGGTCTGCTTGCATCCACATATGCATTCGTACCGCACCATTCACTTCAACCAAACTGAGACCTAGGTTTGTTGGCGGTCCAGAATTCACTTTTGTTGGTCCCCGCCAGAGTTCGGTTACGCTCTCACATCTCCCCGAACAAACCAGATCTTCAGCTAGTTCAACACACAAGGGTTCAGTTGAAGCGGACTAATCAGGGCTGGAGTGATGCATCCTAAATGAAACATAATGCTCCATGGCATGGAGGTAGTTTGCACTAGAAAAGCAAAGAAGTCCTTCAGTTCAAATCCTTGCAGGTAGTCTTGCATGTTCTCTATGTACATCATAGGTGGGTTTGTTAGGTTTATCGGTTTGTTCAAAGTGCCTCTAAGAGTGCGACAGGTACCTAGACCTGCAAAGACTTCTATTGCCAAATTGTTGCACAGAATTTCATTCAAGGATACCGGAGTAACACATGCATACACACTGTAAAATCTCTGAAACATACATTGATATGTTTTTGACTTTATCAGATGAGGAAAACGTTCAAGGGGTGGGAATTCTTTTCACAAGCCACTGTCTGATCTTTGACTTATCTTGGAGGTGGAAGAAGTGGGAGGCAGGAGCTTTTCATATTTAATTCTTTACTTCCTGTTTGTACATGGAAGAGGGGCTGCAAAATCCCGCTGTACTCCATATTTATTTGTACATATTTTACATATTTACTCTACGTAGGTGTGTACCTATTAAGAAAAACGAAAAAATTTTAAAAAGTCTAAATATTATGCAAGTTATTATTCTTTGTTCTTCTTGAAGAAAAAAAAACTATCTATTTCAAATTTTAGCTCCATTTTTTTTAACAAAATATTTTTATGACAAATAGATTGTGGATTTATGTAATAAGATGGATTTTTAACTAGGACTTGCTGATTCTTACATGATTTTATCAGTTGAAATGTTTTAACATGAAACAGAAAATGTAGTTAATGTTACTGCATTATATAAAAAAGATATAAATCACCTTTAAAGTGTGTAAATGAGCATCCTGGCTGACTTGGAGGGTCCTTAGCAGTTTGTTAATCAATGATTTAAATCATTCTTTCTGCCATCTCGTAGACATATTTAGTTTTACAGGTTGTTTTCCTTCAGGTAGAAATGTCTCCTGCATCACAATGTAAAGGTGAAAGATTTTATTGTAAATAGTTTGTCGATAAACAAAGCGCACTTTTTAAAGAGTATTTCATTATGTTTGCACGTGTAAACTGCCTAGCTGGAAATAGACTGGAGTGTCTTCACTGTTTTTCTTCGGGTTTTGCTCTTAAGCTCTGTCTGAACTTGTATGCACTGTTTGTATCTATGCACTGCGACAGTCACATCAATAAAATACATTGATACAATTTGAATTATATGTATATTTGACATATTTTGTGTGTGAGGAAACAACTCAGTGTCTACCCTTAAGAGTGACTCCTAACAGCTTTTAGCTGTAGCGTTGTAGAACTGAAAAATGTTTTGTTGTTTGAAGGGAACAAGAAAGGCTTTCATCTAAACTCTACAAAGATTTTTAAATGAAAAATGAAAACAATCCCAGGAAAAGGACATTTTATTACTGTACAGATTTTTTTCTATTTTGTGCACATAATTAGGCTGAAGCCAATGTGTTTTTAAAATAAATAAATAAATAAATAATTGAATCTTTTTCACAAGGAGTTAACCAAAAAGTCAAGACATTATGTAAAACGCTTTAATATTGACATTTTCAGATGAACAAATTGTTGGAGTTCATTCATACTTGTCTCTGTGCTCCACCAGGTCCGTTAACTACTTTCAGAACCCCTGAGTGTAAATTACCTTGAGAAATAATGAGATTTGGTTATATATAAAAACAGGCTTTAATGCCGAAACATCAAATGTCACAAGCCATACATGTCATACAAATGGAACAGATAAGGAGTTACATTCACAGTCCAGCGCTGGGCCACACTGAGCTCCCCTTATGGATGAAACCAAGTGAGGCAGAGACTGGCGTGAGTTTAGCTTTTTATTCTCTGCAAACTGTACCCTCCAAGAGCAGTCAAATCAGTTTCAATATGTTCATGCATGTCGCACAAAAACATGATTGTGTAAGCTGTGGCGTGCGTGTGTCAGCAGATTACAAAGGAGGCTAAAAGACATAGAGGAAAAGACAGAATCTATAACAGTATATTGATGTGTTACAAAGGCCTATTTAAAGTCCATATGCATGTTTAATTGAGAATTCTGAAATTGCTACTTCACAAATTCTTTCCATCAAATGGACATCACTTTCCCCAAAATACTTAACAGGTGAAACTGCAGAAGGATGGTTCAACAAAATATTGAACTGATGTGCTTGGCCAAAATCACAAAATCTTGTGATACATGTAAAATTGTCATTAGATTGGAGGGGATTCAACCGTGTTTCATTTGTCAGAATCAGTTAGCTATATTTCGATTGTAAAGCACATTTATCATCCAAAAATAAATACAATAACCAAATGTTGAGCTACAAATAAGTATTTAAATGTCCATTCTAATTGCATAATTTAATGTGGTAAAAATCCAGGAAAAGCGACATGAGTTTATAAACTGGTGGACTCGCGCTCTGATTGGTTCTCACGCCCTTCCGTCAACTCTTAGCCCCGCCCACATCTGGGTTGACAGCGGAAAAAAAAAAAGACATGTAGCTCAGCCATTTACAACTGCAGATGTCCAGCTAATTATCTCGGCTGCGAGACTTTTGTTTCCTCTACGCTACAAATCATAGGCATTTATACACCTACTCGCAACATAAGTCATATATGTAGCTAATTCGCCATTCAATGGCGTTTAATCAACGCGACGATGATCTCGTCGACGGAGAAGACGAAACGCCCTCGAAGCTGCCGCCGTGCAACAAGGAGATGCCCGGTTACTTCAGCAACGAGCCCCAGAATGAGGCTTCCGCGTCCGACGGCAGAGCCACGTCCGAGCGGCGGACGACCAACTCGACCCCGTGGCATCGGAAAGACTCGACTAAGAAGACAAGGCCGCGTAGGTGTTAACAAAGCTAGCTTCGGATATATACTGAGGGAGGAAAGGGGGTCGCTGCATCTGCACTAAACACACATAAGGAACCTTTGGCGCTGGAGTTGTTTTCAATTATGAAATATTATTTTGTCGCGCATTTTCTTACGGGTTGACAGGCCGGGTTAACAGGAGTGTGAGACTTAGCATCCGCTCGGCTTTGGCATTTGCCTTCATATCAATGAGCCACAGTGGCAGTAAAAAGCCAGAATTTATTTTGCACAAGATGGCGTTCGCGGTACACACTGTACTTCTTGTAGGAAAGAAGCTGCTTATCATTTTCCAGGCTAGTTGTGTCACATGAAATTAGTCCCCACTCAAACAAAACGTCAGTCATGATTTTCTAGAATGTCTACATTGTTCACAAAAAGAAAAATCAAATCAAAAATGTCTCTGCCTGTGCTCCACACATTTCAGCATTTCCTTGGTTTGGGATGGACATTGGAGGCACCCTGGTGAAACTTGTGTATTTTGAGCCCAAAGACATTACTGCAGAAGAAGAGCAGGAGGAAGTGGAGAACCTGAGGAGCATCCGGCACTACCTGACCTCCAACACCGCCTACGGCACCACAGGCATCAGGGACGTGCACCTGGAGATGAAGGACCTGACGCTGTGCGGCAGGAAGGGGAACCTGCACTTTATCCGCTTCCCCACTCATGACCTGCCCGTCTTCATGCAGATGGGTCGCGACAAGCACTTCTCCAGCCTCCACACCACGCTCTGTGCTACAGGAGGGGGCGCCTACAAATTCGAGTCCGATTTCCGTACGGTGGGTGTGCAGTCTTTTGTCCGCTTTATTTTTGCAGCTTGGAATATAAGAGCTGCTAAAGGGTCATCCAAAATACACCAGCTGTTGGTTGAGTGGATGAACCGTTTTGATTTCTTAGGCTTATCTTTTTACAGTGACAAACACAAAACCTACAAAAAATGATTTCACACATTTTTAAAAATGGGAATGGATGGTTCTCCAGTAGACATCAGTTTTGCAACAAATCTGAAAAGGCCTCTGACTGAAGAATGATGTCATAGCAGTTTAATGACTGACAAGACATGCTAACAGCTCAATATCCAGGCAACAGAGATGATATTTCATAATAGCATGTCCCGACAGACTCCATCAGTTGTTACCACTAATGCTAATCTACTTAATTTGCTTCTTCTGTTCCTCTTTATATCCCTGGAAAAAAATTAGGTTGGAAAAGAAAATGATTAAGGGCATATTGAAGAGTCTGTAAACTTCCCAGCAGCATCAAATTATGTTTATTCTGCTGTGTCTCTCTCTTTTTCTCAAAACAAAGATGGCCAACCTGGAGCTCCAGAAGCTGGACGAGCTGGAGTGTTTGGTTCGGGGAGTGCTGTACATTGACTCAGTGCTCACCAGCGGCCCCTCGGAGTGCTACTACTTTGAAAACCCCAGAGACCTGGATCACTGCGCACAGAAGCCCTACACACTGGAGAATCACTATCCGCTGCTGCTGGTCAACATCGGCTCCGGAGTCAGCATCCTGGCCGTCTACTCCGAGAACAACTACAAGCGGGTCACCGGGACCAGGTGATGCTCAGCAGCAAAATCATTTGCGCTTCCTGCTGCTTTGTAACTTTAGATGTATTATTATTATTATCATTGTTATTATTACATCTGGACCTCTGGGATTGTTTTAAAGGTGCTGGGTTGGATTCAAATATTGCTGATTTAAAACCCATTATGCAATTGAATAGAATAATCCTTTATTAATCCCACTGTGGGGGAAATGTACCTGTTACATCAGTAACAAGTAAATGTAATATGAGACTCAAGCATTGCTTCACAATCTTCATCTATGAAATCCACCCATTCTGCATGATGGAAGCGGTTTGATGAGTTTGTGCAGCTTCTAGAAATTGCTAATAGAATTTAGAAGCTGCAAGAAATGTTTTGACATAAATCTTCCCATGGATATGTTTTTTATTTTTAAATTTTTAACAGTAAAACAATATAATGAATTAATAAAGTACCGACTGAAAAAATTGAACAGCAATTTGAAAATCTCTTTTTTTATTACATCGAACAACAATACAAAGTTTTGGTTAAATTAATTTAATTAATTACCAACAGTCTAGTTAAAAATATTTTACATGTTTTTGTTTGTTTGTTTGCTTTTCTTGTTTTTTTTAATGTGACCCTAAAAGTGTTGCGACGCAACACCCTTTAAAACATTAGTATTCCCAAATTCTAAACGTGTGGCGTGCAAGTTTTTTTTCAGATGCTTGCTGATTGGTCTAAATGAAATCCACTGCAAACACAGCTGCCTTCTAACTGGTGGATGTGGGTCATCCTGCCTGTAACTTAACGCAATCTTTAGCTGTACATCCGTATTGAGTTCACTGCAGAAACATGGTGGTGGCAGCTTCATGCTGTGGGTTCCCTTTTCTTCTGTAAGGAATAATGTTTCCATTTCCTCCCAGTGGCATACAGTGTAATTTCTGATTGTAACATGACATGTGCAAATGTTCTTGGGGTTTGTATATATTATTTTACAATACTCTTTTAAAAATGGGAATAGGGAAATATCATAGAAAAATGATTGAAAAAAAGGTCTGTAAGCTCACCTGGCTTGCGGACATGTTCAAGTAAATCATGGTTAAACACCAAAAAACACACAAACATTTCCCACATAAAGATCAGCACATTCAATCCATTGCAGTATTATTTTTTCAGGCTTGAAGTTTATTTTGCAATTACTAGTAAGTGATGATCTGAACACAGCAGTGGTTGATCAGCTAATTTAAACACCTGCTCTACTGATGATATGTCAGACTTGGTGTGTGGGTTGCCTCATTCTTATTTTTTAACGCAACCGAATCACGGTGGATTCCACAGATCATCTACATGTTAGCTGTCAAAGTCAAGCTAGCATAGCCAACCTACTTCCCTCTCTGTTTTTATTTTATAAAACGTGTACATTTAAGATTCAGGGCATTATGTTGACAAGTTGTTAAAACCCATGGCAGTAATCATTGACTGAATGAAGTTCACTATTGAGCCAAATCCCGGAGAATTTTGCTGATGTCTGATTCATCCGTTTGTGTCGACAGCCTCGGGGGAGGGACCTTCCTCGGCCTGTGTTGCCTCCTCACTGGATGTTCGACTTTCGAGGAAGCTCTAGAAATGGCTTCTCGGGGGGAGAGCACCCATGTGGACAAGATGGTCCGGGACATCTACGGAGGAGACTATGAGAGGTTTGGACTGCCGGGCTGGACTGTGGCCTCAAGGTGCGGTTTTCAGCTCCTTCTACTGTTCTTACTGTTGGCCTTCAGCCTGTTTTGTGATGGTTTCCA